AAAATCCCCCAAAAATCCCCCCAAAAAATCCCCAAAAATTCTCAAAAAATTCCCAAAAAATCCCCCCAAAAATCCCCAAAAATCCCCCAAAAATTCCCAAAAAATCCCCAGAAAATTTTTTAAAAATCTCAAAATTTTTGGAAAAAAAAAAACCCAAAAATGCCCAAAAATTGCCTAAAAAATGCCAAAAAATTCCCAAAAAACCCCCCAAAAAACCCCAAAATCGCCAAAAAATCCCCAAAAATCCCCCCAAAAATTCCACAAATTCCAATAATTTCCAAAATTTTAAAAAATTCCCCAAATTTTCCCAAATTGCAGCAGTGGAACCGTCGGAACGAGCGGGGTGAGACCCCCCTGCACCGAGCCTGCATCGAGGGAGACCCCAAAAAAGTTCGATTTTACCTGGATCAGGTGAGTGGAGAAAACCTAAAAAAAAATTTCCAGAAAAATTTCTCAAAAATTCCCCCAAAAAATCCCAAAAATTTCAGAAAAAATCCCCCAAAAATTCCCCAAAAAATCGCAAAAATTCCACGAAAAATCCCGGAAAAATTCCTCAAAAATTCCCCAAATTCCCCCAAAAATTCCCCAAAAAATTCCCAAAATTCCCCAAAAATTCCCCCCAAAATTCCCTTAAAAATTCCTCAAAAATTCCCCCAAAATTCGCACAGAAATTCCCAAAAAATTCCCCAAAAATCCCGCAAAAATTCCCCAAAAATTCCTCGAAAATTCCTGAAAAATTCCTCAAAAATTCCTCAAAATTCCCCCCAAAATTCCCAAAAATCTCCCCAAAATTCCCCAAGAATTCCCCAAAAATTCCCCCAAAAATTCCCCAAAAAATTCCTCAAAAATTCTGCCAAAATTACCACAAAAATTCCCCAAAATTCCCCAAAAAATCCTCCCAAAATTCCCCAAAAATTCCCAAAATTCCCCAAAAATTCCCTAAAAATTCCCCAAAATTTCCCCAAAATTCCCACAAAAATTCCCTAAAATCCCTCCAAAATTGCCCAAAAATTCCTCCAAAATTCCACAAAAATTCCTCCAGAATTCCCCAAAAATTCCCCAAAAATTCCTCAAAAATTCCCCTAAAAATTCCTCAAAAATTCCCCTAAAATTCCCCTAAAATCCCGCAAAAATTCCCCAAAAAATTTCCCAAAAATCCCCAAAAATTCCCCAAAATTCCCACAAAATTCCCCAAAAATTCCCCCAAAAATTTCCCAAAAATCCCCAAAAATTCCCCAAAATTCCCACAAAATTCCCCAAAATTCCCACAAAATTCCCCAAAAATTCCCCAAAATTCCACAAAAGTCCCGCAAAAATTCCTCCCCAAATTCCCCCAAATTCCCCCAAAAATCCCCAAAATTCCCCCCAAAATTCCCCCAAAATTCCCACAAATTCCCACAAAAATTTCCCAAAAATTCCCCAAAATTAACAAAAATTCCCCCAAAAATCCTCGAAAAATTCTTCCAAAATTTTCAAAAAAATGCCCAAAAATTGGGGGGAAAATCCCCAAAACTTCACTGT